TAACACCCCAGTAACCTATGCTGGTTGTAGGTGTCCACTGAATCAATCCCTGGTAACCTATGCTGGTTGAAGGTATCCACTGAATAACACCCCAGTAACCTGTGCTGGTTGTAGGTGTCCACTGAATCACTAACACTTGAAAGAAAGTACACTTCTATTATGTCTAGCCCTGTGGTCACTAGACAGAAGATAACCATGATAACACTTGCTTCACAACTTCTGTATTCACTCTGAAAACTGTATGTTAATGTATGTTTTCATACAATAGCCATGTCTACATCCTGTAAATGTGGTGGCACAGGTGGCCCGGTCGTCTAAGGCGCCACGATTTGCTGTGCAGAGTTGCGTCCTTTGGGCATGCCAGTAACCTATGATTGTGGGTTCGAATCCCGGTGCACCCCGATTATATTTCTAGGTTTGTCAGCACCATTCCCGTGCTCGTGGGTGTCACCAAAGTGGTAAACATCTGAGACCTGCATCACTTCAGGCTTTCCTCCCACATTAAGCTGACACGCCGTGATATGACTGGAATACTGTTAAAAGCGGTGTTAAACCCAACTCACTCACTCACCACTCCTGTGAATGTATTGTATTTATAACCTCACAATACCTTGTCATAGTATTGTTAGACAATTATTTCAGTGTTCCCACTTAATACATCCTCAAGAAAGTTTGTGTCTCCTCTCAGGTTGATATGGAAATTTAGCTATCACATTTCATAATGTGTCTGCACCCCATGGGAATTCTGGGTTGGAATTGATCCCCAGCAACCTAAGTAGGTTCTTTGATGCAACCAAATGGATCAGGAAGTCATGCTTGGTGGCTTGGTTGCTTGTGTCCTCATATCCCTGTAACAAATATATCCATTACAGCCCATGCAAGTCTATAATGTTTGGCAAGTTTAGATTACTGAAGTACCTGCAAATGAAGAGTCTCTGGGCTCCTTTTTGTTATATTTTTATTAAGATAATTTTAACTTTTTTTTCTGTAAGATATGTTCATTTCAGAGTCCAGATGTTAGTCTACCCAAAAGTGTGCATCCTTGCTCACAATATACTTATCTGGATTATGTGGTCTTGTCTCAATTATGTACAGGCCAACAAACAAACATTCATTGTTTTTTTTCAAAAGATGCCATTCATCCAAAAATACATCTGATTCTGCAGGCCGGAGTTTGTGATTGTTCGTAAAACATGCACTTTTCAGCGTTTAGAATAGTACTGAAATAATCCTTGTTCCTCCTGTGCTGTCATCGTGTGGATTGAGTCTGCATGTCGTTTAGTCCGGCCCAGCTCACAATCCCCCAAAGCAGTTGTCATTTCTTCCGTTGTTTATATTTGATGTAGATGTGATTGCTTCATTGTTTAAATTTATCGAGCATGGTTAAATCCAAATGGAATCAAATCCCTTCATTCCAGAGGATTTTTTTACCCAGAGACATTCTGGTCACCGAGACCAAATGCTGTTGTGCCTAGACAAGAAGGCGAACTGGCCAAGCCAAAACGGTCAACTTAACTGCCATCCCATTGTGGACCAATAGTGAACCCAAATTGTTGCTTCTCATTGATTATGTTTGCAACAGGCCGTGATGCCATGGGATGTCCAATTTCTCTCACTGAACAAGCACAGATATTTATAAAGCAAGAAAAGCTCATGTTTACTGTTTAAGCAGTGAAAGAAAGAGCTTGTTTGCTGTTCGAAAGCCCTCCTCTTCTGAGAGTGTGAAACGAATATTCGTTCAATATTTAGATCTGTTTGTTGGAGCGTGTGACTTTGGAGAGGCATTCCAACACGCCAACAAATGCTTGTTTCTTGCAACTTATCATGATTATGTTCGTTATTCCCTGCATGGTTGTGACTGATACGAGATTAGTCCAAAGCTGGAACTCTGGTGCTTGTGAGGAAATGGCAACTGTAATGTTGAACTAAGGTGGTTGTTTCAGAAAAGGTTACATTTAACGACTTACAGGCAACGATGACCAGGTGAGATCTGTTTTGAGAAACTTTCCATGGTTTAACTTTAAGTAAAATTATGAACTTCTTAATTTCTTTTTTTGAAGACACTTTGACTGAAATTTGCAGTGTTATGTTATAAAAGGTCTTTTTGAATACCTTTCAAAGCTATATTTTGAGAGATTATATTTAGGAACTTTAACAATTAACGGCTTTCAATTTTCTTGTTTGTTTAAGGAATGACCATTTGTTATTCAAGGGTGGGGTTCTGGGATATTATCGAATAAAATAAGTTATGAAATTATGTGTAAAGAATAATTTTATGCTTCATACTGCTGAAAAAAAAGAAATTACATTGTTGCAAGATGTTTTTCTTTAAAAATATTTAGGCTCATAGTTTTAAATAGCTGAAAAAATATCAAATCTCGATTGAAAGTCCCCAGCCCCCTTGCTATTAACCTGCCGGTGATCTAATTGAAGATTCCTAGTTTTGATTTCGTGGATGTTCGATCACATGTCAGGCAGTTGAAGTTAAGTTTGTGATGACAGCAAATGACTTTCTTCACCCTGCAAATGATTGGGTCACCCCTTGCTATATCATGGAATTCTATTGAAAATTAGTTTTCATAGTTCGAAGTCAAGTCTACGAGAACTAATTACATGACACATTGTTGGCCACTCTCAATACTTTGGTGATGCCTTTATTTCATGATTTACGGTATTCATTTAATGGTCCCGGGCTCAACATGGCCTTAGTAAATGGTATTTCAAGAACAATTTTCCTTCACTGATGGTGTTATTTTACCAATGCCAATTATTGAATGAAGCAATTAAATTTCAGCATTGTTGTCCCAAGGTGTTCTAAATGTCACCTGGAAGAAAGTTGGGGCTCTTGATGGTAGATAATCAGTTATTATTCATCATCATAGGTGTGACGTGCGGTGAAACGGGTGTAACATTGTATTCAAGATTATTGCACTTTCATATGCATGTGTGTGTGTGGCTGCTTGTATGGACTCGGGGCGGTCGGGTAGCCTAGTGGTTAAAGCGTTCGCTCGTCAAGCCGAAGACCCGGGTTCGATTCCCGACTTGGGTACAATATGTGAAGCTCATTTCTGGTGTCCCCTGCTGTGATATTGCTGGAATATTGCTAAAAACGGCGTAAAAACAAACTCACTCACTTGTATGGACTAATGCTGATTTTATGGGGTTAGCCCACTGAGCAATGCTGAGATACCATGTCACAGTTTAACATCAATAACCCACTCAGACACAGTATACTGACTGCGAGTTGACGTGTCCTTGTTTTAGCTCCTTAATGCCAAGTGCAAGGCAGGGAAACAACAAGTACCATTTTTAAACATCTTTCAGTATGATGTGCCCGGGGATCGAACCCACAACCTTCTGCTCTCTGGGCCGACACTCTACCCTAAGACCACGGAGGCGGTCATATCTTTTTCTCATCTTCAGGTTGTAATCAGTTATTTTTAGTCAAAGTAACTTATTCATGTCATTATTAAGGCTAATTTCATATGACAATTGTCATCGTTCACTGACATGCTTGAATGTCGACAGTGACAATGTCAATTATTTCACAAAGGGCTTAAATGTTTTTCACAATTAAAAATGACCAATCCATGGTTTTGGTCATGGATAGTGATAAATAGTGAACAGTGGATCTGTATAAGAGGAAGCTGGAGTGTGGAGTTGCAGGCCTTGCATGTTGGAATCCGATCATTCAACCAACACTTGTGTGCTAACTATAGGTTTATCATCCAGATCAGTCCAGCTGTAAACCATTACCCAATTACGTACTGACATTGTCTCATTTCCACACAAGCCTCTGATTACAAAGTCTAGGCTGGGGTCCTTTCCACAATGCGATCTTAGCACTTCAACTACCAAACTCTCATTTGTACATATAGACTAATACCCCCATTTCACTACGACCACAAATATCCCAAATCACCCCGAAAAGGAAATTTTTCATGTTCGTAGATAAATCTCAATCATTTCTTGAAGTTCGTAAATGAATCCTATTTGATTCCCAAACATTCGCACAGTTCGCAGGAGTTCGTCAAATTGGCATGAAAGTTTTTGTTTGTCAAAAACTTTCGTGGAAGGGTCCCCATATTGCAATTTTGTGGCTGTGTCGTAATCCAATCATAATTAATTCTTATGTTCCGTAACAGCTTCGTAATCGATTCTTTTTCATTCTTGGCTATTCTTAGGGATTTGTGGCTCCCAAAATTTCTTGTCCTCAACCCGAAAACATCCCGAAACAGCCACGAATGTCCCGAGTCAACTACAAATCATGTAAGATTAAGTAAGAACAACACGATTCCCCAAGGACAAGGTCCAGAGTAACACGTGCTCTCTGTTGAACCTTCATGGTGGAAATGATGGGTTGGCCAGTCTTTAGGGACCCAAGCACATGCCGAAGTGTCAGGAAAAGTACCGATTTTCGCCAACTATTCGTAAATATGTGGTATTAGTCGTATCTTATTGCAATCATCCTGCATTCGTACATGCATTCGGCATATTCGTAACTTAAGTCGTAGGTGATTCTTACAATTGGTGCATGATCCGTACATGATCTGTACAGCTTAACCCATTCCTGGCAATCTTCATATTTTTCAACCCGATTAGCCACGAGTTTTCGTAACTCCGTCATACGTTTGTCGTAACTGCTTCATACCTCCTACCGATTCTCCACGAAAGTTTGCATTATTGGCCGAATCATCACAAATTTCAAAAGTGTTTCACGATATTAGTGGTTGTATTGAAAGGGGGGCATAAGAAAGTACATTACAAGGTCCACAACATGCATAATTATATCTCAGCGCGATCTTAGCGCGTGCGTGTGTGTTTGTGTGCGTGCGTGCCTGTGCGTGTGTGTGTGTGTGCGCGAGTTCGTGGGTGCGCGTGCGCCTAGACTACAGAGGCGGTCTCAAGTGGGACACGCAGCAAATGTTCTTTGCTTCCATTCTTAGGTTTTTTTGGGTACAAATGGCAATGTGTTGTAATACATCTAAGCTCATGCGCAGCATCAGTAATCTTGTCTAATGTAGCTGTGTGGCAGCATCAATGAACTTTAATTAGTGCTATCTATTGATTGAATACAACTGTGAAAGCATGAAACATTTCAAACCAGGATCAATCAAGGTGTGGACTGCATATAAGATTTGGTTGCAAGATTTGTTTTCAAGTCTGAAGAATGTCAAGACTTATCGATTTGGGCAGTGACAAGACTCCAAAGACTTGCCCATGCTAAAACAGGTCCCCAGCTCTCTATTGCTTCTCAGAAGAGGTGACCATATTGGATTGGTTGGTCAAGCTCCACGACTTGAGTGTTATAATGCAGTGACATGGAAAGTTGTTCATATTAACCGCTGGTCTGCCTGGATGAGCCACGATTACTTCCAGGCCGCCTTGATATGGCTTCAAGAGTCCTAACTTTACATTGAGACTAGAATCAGGAACATGAATAACAAACTTGTCTATTCTTGCATGGGACTCGGTAGTCTGAGACTACGAAACTGCAATTCTCTCTGCAGAGTTACTTCCCTTACTTGTACCAGGATCCACTGAACATGGTTCAGTGACCTCAATTATGAAACTTGATTTGCAAGCACAAGTACCTCTGCTCATGGGTTTCACCAAAATGGTATATGTCTATGGCCACAAGATTTTTCCTCCCCATTAAGCTAACACAACTGAAATACAGTTCAAATAGTGTCACAAACTCAAATCAATCATACAAGTTTGTAGCTGCCAATGAAGGAACAGATCACAGCCCTCGCTGTCTGCCTCAAGGATGACGATAAGATGGAAACCTGCAGACAAAGGAGTATATATATATATAAACACATAAACTCCATTATCGATTCTCTTATGAGTCTAAATTCTTCAATATGTTTTGAAAAAAAGATAACAATGTTCCCCATAGCTGGGTTTGGATTGTGGGGATGTGATTCAGAATTTGTACTGATTTCCTTCCCGACCAGACAACTCCACCTCAGCTTTGATTGCATGCTTTGGGTCGTCCTGGCATGATGCTCGCTGCTGAGTCTGGATGGAGAGTCTTTTATTTCCTGTCTTTGATGTTGAGTGGTGCTGCAGTCATGCTGCTGTCTCCCCATGTCATCTGTACTTGAAGATATCTTCATGCACTGTTCTCAGCATCATCGTCCCCATCGACTCCTGCTGCTGATTAACCATAGAAAGTATCGTAATGATTTAACATTAGATTTAAACACATTGTGTTTGTAAGCGTGAAGAGCTTAATCATTACCTCTATTTCATTGTTAAACATGTTAAAGCGCAGACTTGATTTATTTGGTTTTATGACTAACTTTTATATAAGTCAGTAAGCAAATGGCTCTGAAGTGTTTAGCAGTTGGCATGGTTGACGTCCATGTGATTTATAAATGAATGGCGAGAACCATTTTTATAAAAAGTTCTGTCGGAACGTGCTTAAAGGGCCAGTCCATGTGATTTATAAATGAATGGCGAGAACCATTTTTATTAAAAGTTCTGTTGGAACATGTGCCTAAAGGGCCAGTCCATGTGATTTATAAATGAATGGGGAGAACTATTTTTATGACAAGTTCTGTCGGAACATGTGGGGAAAGGGCCAATCCTTCCCTCGTGTTTGGAATGCCATAGGTTTTATTACCAGCTGCAGTGTTCCTGTGAATCACTGAATGTTCCCCCCTGCTCCACTGGTTGACAATGTTCCTGAAGGCATCGTAGTCCCTGCATCTGTAAAAGCAGTAGATAAGTGAAGAGCAGAAGTCCCCTCTGGGACTCGGGGCAGAACAGCTGCAGACTGATGCCAGGAACTGTGTGACATTACCTATTTGAATTTGGGCTGGCCGCTGATCACAAATGGACCTGACTCACGCTTTTGTTGTGGCAGTTCCCATGTCCACTGGTGACTTCCATAATAATAATAATAATAATAATAATAAAGGTCCATACTGGATATCATCATGCTCAAAGCACTCACAGACTTATTACCACCGTTAATGGATCACTGTGCACTCAAGTTTCATTCTCAGCTCCCTGTGGAGTATACAACCCAAGCTGCCTGTGAGGCACCAGAAGGTTAATGGACATCCTAGAAATATATACTAGTGCATCAGACATACAGTCTCAGGTACAAGACATATAGGCATATGTACTGGAAATATGGGCCTTGGTATTAAAGGGGCGGTCGGGTAGCCTAGTGGTTAAAGCGTTCATTCATCACGCTGAAGACCTGGGTTCGATTCCCGACATGGGTGCAATGTGTGAAGTCCATTTCTGGTGTCCCCCGCTGTGATATTGTGGGAATATTGCTAAAAGCGGCGTAAAACCATACTTACTCACTCACTTGGTATTAAAATATAGCTACAGGGATCCATGGTGCTGAAACAGTTAGGGGGCCATTTATTTCAGGTTAATACTGGTCGATTCCTTTAAAACTAACATAAGTCCAGACTAGTACAGGCAGTCACACGCACGCACGCATGCATGCATGTCGCTTTATAAGTGAAATAAGCATGGCTGTGACGTGAAGTACACGCTTGGCAACACCACACACACACTCCATAGATCACGCTGGGGGTGCTGCAGTAGGCTGAGTGAGAGGTATGTTGCAATCATGGGCTTTGGCTGAAGGTTTTCCTTGGCTGATGATCAGAATCAGTCACGCTTTTGTTGTGGCAGTCCTCATGTCCAGTGTTGACTTCAACAAATATTGATTGATTTGGAGCCATTTAGTCTGAGGCTGTTCCTGTTGAAGAAAGGGAGAGTTTCATGAATTGTGATAATCATCGAAATTGGTTGACATGTAGGTCAAGGTCAATAAATTGTCTTGACTGGTTTCTTGGAAATAACTGCTTGGGTGTTATTTAGAGAAAATTTAGTTTGCAGGATTGTTCATGTTGAGTAGTTTAGGTTTGATAGCTTGGCAAGTCGGTCAGCACTGACTTGGTCAAAGATCACAGTTACAGCGTCACTGAAACTGTCATGTGCTGCAGCAGCACTTTATCCTGTCTGTTATTTCAATTTATCATCCCAAACTGACTTCCACAGATCAGGCTGGGGTGAGATAAAGCAATATCGCCTAGGGGATGCTGTGAAATTGCATCACAATGCATTACTGACTATTCTGATGTATATAGTTACTATAATGTAACAATCATATGACATCACTAACCGCTTGCCACTGAAGCTGGTGAGCTGTACTTTTTAACACTCAAGACACTGGCTATGGCTGTTAACAAAATGGAAAGTTGGAAGAATAATTTTGGAAGATAACTGATATCTCGCCTTCATGTTGTTTAATATTAAATGTATCAACACTCATCGATGAGAGTTAAAAAATCCTCTGCAAGCCTCAGAGTTTTAAAACTGTTATCGACTTGTGTTGATATACCTGGTATCAAAAGACTCGCAGTCAGTTCCATGAGTACTGGTGGACGTTCATGTATGAATAAAATAATAACATAATAACATCAAGGCTCACTTTCATAACATATACATATTTTCTGGAGTAGAGTGCACACTTTTTTCCCCATTAAACACAACGATGAGTTTTGATGTTTTTTCCCCAACACAAAACTAAAGACATTTTACCATGAACATGTACTAACACCGGAAATACCATGTCAACAAATCCATACTGAATTACACAATTTAATCCTAATACTTTCTAATTTTAATACTTTCTAGTAATAAAAAGTGTTCATTGTATATATGGACTTATGTTTGCAGTCTATTTTATTAATTTTATTCAAAATTTCATTTAATATTGTTGACATTCATTTCGTGGAAATCGTGTGTGAAGTGACTCGCCTTTATGTACAGCAGCCACAGTCAGATTACCGATATTGATGCCTTGAAATAAACTTTAGTTGACAGAGAAGGGATACATATATCATGACGTCCACACTTTCACGCATTGAAATGAGTATCAAAATATCAGGCAATGGCAATCAGCTTTTCCAAAGTGCTACTCAGTCTCAGGTTGTAATGTTTGGCAAGTACTTTCTCAAAAATATTCGGTTAGCAAATTTTTAAATGTCCGGTTTGCACTTTTTCAACTGGACAAGTCCGGCATACAGACCGGTTTGCGGATACCTGACTAGAACCCTGAACTTGGAAAACCTGATCAACAACACTGTAGGTTGACCTGTTGGATGACATGGTGTTCATGTAAGATGGGAATGGATCAATTCCCGCCATGTTTACAAAGCTGTCATACAAGGGAGTTTCTTTGAAATGGAAATGTGATTGTAGTTTGTATGCGACCTCCACGCCATCAGGGCAAGTGATGTAAGCCAGCAGGTCGACAGGTCACATTCATACATGCTGCTAGGGTAAGTTCTGAATAAATAAATGCCCTGAATCCAATTACTTGGGATTCAAAATTTGGAATGCTCAGTATCATGCTAACAGCGCAGCTTGTCACTTTGAGGTGTCAGGGAAAGTGACTCCAGATGAATACAAAAGAGGAGATTTTGTTTTTCGTATGTTTGACAGATGTTGATGACACTGTGTAGGGTGGCCATAGAAAAATATGCTTGCGACACAATATTATACTCCAGTAGTTACCCCATAAACATAAACATGTGTTTTGACATTTGTAAAACTTGGTACATTTAAGTCTTTATGGGAGTCTGGACTTGGACAAATAGTCCTTAGTTATATTCAAGTCACTGAAGCGCCATTTTGGTTCTCTTCACATTCCATATTTTATGTCGATGGGTGTAACAGGTGATGATTGCCGACATTACATGGAGTGGACTATAGTGGTGTGACCTTAAGAGGACATATTTTAAATATTTACACAGACTTATCTAGGCCTATTCAGAGGCTATGAATTGACCCCAAATCTGCTGCAAATGTCAGCAAATATTCCCAAATTGGAATTAAAACTTTCCCATTTCATTTCATATGGTAGTTCCTATAATAAATGTTATTACTTTGTACAGGCAACTCGTATTTCACGGACCAATCTGAGAAAAAACAACTCAAAATGGCCTGCCAAGGGTACTTGGTTTGACATCCTGGATGAATCCCTGTGTTTACATTCACGAAATATTGATTGACGGTATCATTTGCTGACCTTCATGCAATAGATGGTATTGACATGGCATTGATGTGTCTTGCCTTCGGCCTGGGTTTCATTCCTCACATCGGTACATGAAGACCGTTCTTGGTTTACCTGTCCTGATATTGATGAAATATTAATTGCTGTAAGCAATGTCAAACTTCTCATTCACATTCCCTTGCAAATCCCATTTTGATTGTTACTTCAAGACCAGCTTATCTTTCGCCTGCAGCATTCGGGGAGGAAAAGCAGTGGCACGAACCTAGGGGGCAATTTAATATTTGAATCAGGTCTTGAAATAGAATTTGTTGCTTGTTAATGTCGTGTGTTCGGCGAAGTCAATATGTTTAAATGTGACAAGTGGGTTGAGTGTATGGGACTGTTGAGATCGATATCGAAAGGAAAAGATCCTTAGTGTCTGGCAGATGAATTGAAATTCCAGTTGGAGCCTTTCAGCAAGTTTAAGTAAATATTTAATATATATTAACAGAATTATTTTCTATTTACCCCCTGTAATATATATGAACAGAGCTATTTTCTGAGTTTACCCTTCAGATATTACTCATCATTTGGGGATGCATAGTCCTGCGCCATGACTGGAATTTATATGTATATAAATAGATAATATTTTACTAAAAAAAAATTATTATTATTTTAAAAAATGTTTTTTTATTGACTAAGTTTTAGTCTAGGGGATGGACTGTGTTGTATTTTTGAATGAGCCATGGGGAATTTTCAGTAACCATAGAAACAAAAAAGGATTAGTACATAAATTTGCAAGCTTATATTCCTCACTCCTATATTTCTGAAACAACTCGTGTTCAACTCGCCTTTTTTATCGGTGACGTTGAGCGGTCACTTTAGCTTTCTAGTTCACAAAACCAAAAGACTTGTGCTTGTTTAAAAACCTTGCCTTTTGCTTGGTAGATTTATGGCAGTCAGTGCTGTTGTTTTGTTGATTACAAGCGATGGCCTTCATGTCACCATAACCAACTTTAGTGAGACACACTAGGAGATTTTAGGTTCATTCATCAGCATATCACAGTAAATATTGCTTGATCCATTTATTAACAGGTATTGAAGTTGGACAAGATCAACTTTGCTAAAGTATTCCTTTTCTTTATAATCAGACCTGGACGAGTGTGCAATCCAGGTCTTGAAAAATCCACTCGTCCGCTCGTATTGACGAGTTGAAGTATGTGCAGGGCGAGAACGAATTAAAGATACGCTCGTGCTACCGGGCGAGTACATATATTTCAATCATATCAATTCATCTCTAATTGTTTTCAATAAAATATGCAAGATAATTTCGAACCTAAAATATGTTTTCTTCTCTCGTATGATCTAAGTACAGTGTACAGTGATCCCTCGGCCTTGCTACAATGCTACCTTTTGGGTCCAAATAATTGATGAGTGTTACAGATTAAATTGTATTCCCTACTCACCAAGGCATTGTTTTATATGCCGAAATTAAGATTACCGTATTTTGTTGTAAACTAAGCCGAAAATAGCAATCATCTGTGCACACGTTTTCTCTCAATCTACCGGTGATTTAGTTAAAAAGTATCCAATGATGTAACTTAAATTGGTTCAATGGTTGGAAGTAATTGTATCTGAAAAAATAATTTTATCAGGAATAACATATTCCAATATCGTGTTATTTTAGTTGCAGCTTTTACTGTTTATGTTTTAAATTATGAGATTGAGA